CCCCAAAACCCCAAAACCCCGCCTGATATAAATAGAATTTATTAGGAGCAAAATAATAATAATAAATAGTAAGGGTATATATAATTTGAATTTAAAAATGTGTGAGGGAGAAAATGGACAAAAGATATGTTCCAGGTGGGAATCGAACCCACGACCTTTGGTTCATAAGACCAACGCGCTACCGATTGTGCTACAGGAACTCTGATACTAATCAACCCCTACCGAGGCTTATAACCCTATCATAATAGTCATTAAGTATGAAGACAGAAATAACACCGTAATTAATATCTATATTAAGTTGCGGTTAACAATTATCATGTAAGGACTCATTAATCAATTAATCCTAAGTAATTTATCAATAGTTAACTCAATATCTTCTAGAGTGTAGGCATTGCTCGGCTTGACGACTTTAGTGTAGAATTCGTATTATTCTCTCACAGTGTTCACTATCGACTCTTTGAGCTAAATCTTCAATTGTTGATCTTCAATCACGAATTTGTACTTCTTGATTCCTTTAATAAGCTGATCAATTTTTTGCTAAATCTCCTAAAATTTCAATTCAGGATTATATGACTTACATCTGAAATTTGTTCAAAATTTTTATCCTTTTTAGCTTCCTAAATTTTTTAAAGCAAAGGTCTAACACTCTTCCAGAAGTATAATCCAAACTACTCCACATGAAATTAAAGTGACTCTTTGAGCTGTGTTACTAAATCTAGGTCAGTCAGCTTAAACACTGTCTCGAATTAATCAATTCTGTAATTCATTAAACCGTAATTGTTTATTATGAACTGAAACTTTTGAGCGTACTGTTTCTTCAGAGCATCTTTTCTCTGCTCTACCTCTTATACACAGTCGACAAGATCTTGGTAAACTAGAGATACATTAACTATTTATATGCTATTTACAGTTAAACTTAGATTCCTCGTCTTTGATTTGCTTGTTTACAAATTCAATTAATCTGTATGTTTTTGGAAATTTCGAGACTTCTGTCATTATTAGCATAACCTAAGTTAATGTTATATCAAAATTTGCTTTACATATTATATTTTAGGTAAAATAATCTCATCTTAAGAATCTCTCTGTACATCACTATACGCCTCTCTTTGATTCTTTAGGAACTCTTGGCATCTTACAAGAACTTATTCGATTTATTTCTTTAACGGTAGTTCTTTAATCTTCATTAATCTTAGAAAAAAGTTCGGTATCATTTCATGCATCGTCTCTAAAATATCAAGTACTACTAAAAATGCTCTGATCTGTTTCTCCGAAGATACCTCCTTATCAAAATTGTCAAGTATCTTGCAAAGTCTTTGCATCAGTTTGATATTCACCTTGAGCCCAATATTGAGAGAATTTTATTAGGTCAATTAGAAAACGGAAGTAGCAGCTTGTAATTCTTCCTGATAAGGTCAATATTATAATTTGATTTACTTCAATAAGCTGTGATAATTCAGTTACTTGGCTGATTATCGGATGTGAACCTTTCTAATAATTACCAGTATTCGGCCCCGTGATAAGTGACATTCTCATGTCGGATTAGCTGCTTGACACTGAGGCATCATTGTCCGAAAACTGCGACTTGCTTTTTATTCGTTCTCTTCTCACATCCATGTAGAATTTGACATATTTACTGAATTGGTCACTGCTGGTTGCATTTTCAAGTGTTCTTAATAGTTCTTTGAACCTTTTCAAATGCTTTTTGCTTTCAAGAACACTATCTAGCTTCTTTATATTTATATCTAGATATCAATCGCACTCTTCAATGCCTATTTTCACAGCTTCTTTCTAAAATTATTAAAGCGAAAATGAGATACAAGTTTTGTAGCGATAGAAAAAGAGTCTTTAAAGTATACCAAATCCTTCTCAAAGTATTTCACTAACTCTATGGCTCGATCCATATACTTAAGGTATAAATCAAATTCACTGTTTAATATTCTTCTTTCCAGAGTCTAAACTACTTCCTCCTGTTCATTTATGTTCATATTTATTGTATTTATTTTTTCTAGAGACAGATTGATGTTATCTTTGCAAATCTACACTGTTTCAGCCATAGACTAAATTGGCTAAACTCTTTTCTCAATAGAAATCAAATTTTAATCTGTTTTCGCCATATTCTTGTACATTTTCTCTGACAGCAACCGAGTCAACTCTAATTGTTAGCTCATACTGTCCTATCCTATTGCTTATATAAAGCATTTTATATTACAACAATCGTTTTATGCTACTGTAGAAGAGACTTCATTTATGCATTTGTATCCATTTTAATGTGAATAATTAAGTTAAAATTAACAATTATAATCATTTCAAATATTACTAGATTACAAGATATTTTGAATACTCAATTATTGATAGCATACAGACTATTGTTTCTCACCATATCATGCTCAGGCTGATTATTATCACTTGAGTTTCTATTCATATGATTATTTTGCTAGCGTTCCTACTCATATTCATGATCTTCTTCTATTTCATCTTAATTCCTGATATTCTCATATGTGAAATTTTCCCAACGTCTACTCTCTTCTATTAGCATTTGCTCTCTTTCTTCCTCAATTGATCTAAAGCTAAACCTTCTTCTACAGACTGGGCATGTGTCTTAATGAGCAGTCTCATACCAACTCTTTAAGCAGTTTTCATGAAATAAATGCTTGCATAGCGGTAATTCCTTTATAATCTAATTGGAATTCACGAAATCCTCCAAGCAAATTGAACATGTATTATCTTTTAAAATGCTCGGATCTAATACTTAGTTCTTCAACTGTAACTATTCAAAGGAAAGGAAATGTGTTCTCGGATCACCTTAAATTAGTCTTTCGGCAGCACCGTTTGGATCAGGACGGCCTCTTCTCACATAAAAGCGCTCTGATAAAGACAACTATGGACAGCAAATATAAACTGCTATTACAATATGTGCACTCATTAAAGCTAGTAGATGCAATCCAAAGAATGTAGGGGTGTGTTTGAGCATTCCATCACCATTAATACTTTTTACCAATTCCAAGTAGCCAGTTACAGCGGTAAAAAGAGAGAACAAGAAATTGAACAGATGAAACCTGTAAATCACATTAATATCGGTTCTCATTGTGCAGTGCTTTAATCTGAATGTCAAATACAGTGCAAGAAACTGCATGTACATATAGATGATCAGAAATGGTTGGACATCTTAAGCGAAATCCCCAATCAGTACAACGACAGTAAGAGCTAGTAAACCAACAAAGAACAAGTCAAGCATTATTAATAGGCACCGCTTAAGTTTTCTATCCATTCTTCAATAATATTATACTAGATCATTAAGATAATCCTAACTTATTTAAATCATCTTACTTATTTCATATTCTTATGGTATGGGGTTTTGGGGTTTTGGGGAGATCGGAA